CTCCCACACACACACACACACACACTGGGGTTAAACATGGCCGTGGGTCATGTGTGTGTTTTCAGATCTCATGATGTTGCTGTAGAGCTCTTGTTGTCATCAACAGTCACTCACTGTTTCACTCCCCCCCCCCACACACACAAAGACCTCTTTATCCACGATAAACGACCCTCGGGCGCCAACATGCAGCCGCACGCCGCCCGTACAACCCTCCCTGAGCTGCTCTGAGGTCAGCTGTAATGTTATCCTGCTGCGAGGTGTTCCCTCTCCAAACAAACACACCCGGAGGAGGAGGAGGAGGAGGAGGAGGAGGGAGTCGTTGCTTGGCAACGGTGAAGTTAACAGAGGATCCAGCTCACACACACGTTACCTGAGAGTCCAGCTGTGACACATCTGCGCCGGCTGCTGCACACTCTCCCGCCGTCTGCAGAATAACAGCATGACTCAGCAGAGGTGGAATATGTTGCAGGTTTCTGTTGAGTCATCGCTGTGTTTCTTGTCAAGTCATCGCTCGTTGCACTCGTGCAGTCAGACGCTCCTGCAGGGGATTATGGGAAGTTAGAGCTGACTCAGCAGAGCGTTTCTACTGAAGGCTCGAGGTTCGCTCACTTCCTGGTTTCACATTCAGATTTCTCTCACTGCAGATCACCGGAGGTCACTGGAAGTCACCGGAGGTCACTGGAGGTCACTTTCTGTCTTCACTTTCATTTGATGCAGAAACACGAAGTTTCAAAGAAACACGAGCAGAAAGGATTGAGATCTTTAAAGAGACATTCGCTGCCACCAGAGTCTCACCAGGCTTCATTCAGGAAACCTTCAGAGACAGAATCAAACTGTCCAACTATCACCGACGGCGACAACGTAAGATAATGTCGGAGCTTATTTTGAACAATTTAATTATTCTTTTCATTATGGATTCATCTGCTGATTATTGATACATTGATCAACTGATTGTAAAAATAGATTAAATGACATCACAGTTACCCAGATGTTTGGACTCATTGATTATTAATGACGGACCAGAACCAGGACCAGGACACTGAGATGTGATGTGAGTTGGGTTCAGGCGGTCTAACCTCTCTTCTTCTCTGCTTTTTCTGTCCTCCAGGTGTGCAGGTAAAGAAAAAGGATCCTGAGTGACAGACGGACAAACTGCTGCCTACTTCCTGTTTGTGCTGCTTCAGTCCAACCACAGTATTATTATGGTACTTATAGTCGGACATTAAACATTGACAGTCTGACACTGCAGCACTATTGAATCCACATATTATATGTGTGTATATACTATACGTACTATATATATAAGTACGGAGGCCCTCAGGGGACATGAGGAAGAAAAAAATATACTTGTGTTTCCCTGAGAGTATTTCTGGGCTCCACACTACAACTATGTATTATTATATTACCCCCTTTTTTAGTATTTCCGTCTTGATTTTCTTTGATTTGTGTATTTTTATATTTTATCTTTATTTATTTTATTGTATTTGTTTTTATTACATGTTCATACATTTCAAAATAAAAGCCCATATTTATTATTAATCCAAAATGTATGTT